ACTAAAAATTAAAGCTAAAAATAAAATCGAATAAGGTTTTTTGGTTTGATAACCATTTTTACTTAATACATCCGGTCTTGGTTATTTAGACAGTTCTTGAGAAATGGTAACTGAGATGTTAAGTAATGTATGTGTCAAAATTATTTCGGGAATTGAAAGTCATGACCAATCGAAATATTCAGTATATTTGATTTTAAAAACTATTCTATAAAATTTTAACATTTTGACACATTCTTTTTACACCTTCTTCTAAATCAACTAAAGGTTCATACCCTAACAATCTTTTTGCCTTTTCAATGTTATAATATCTATTACCACAACTAAATCTTACTCTATATCTTGTAAATCCAGCTTCTTTTCCAGAAAAATAAGATGCTAATTCAGCTAACGATGCAATGATAAAACCTGCTGATCTTGGAAACTTTATGATGTATGGTGGGTAGTGTCCAAATTGAGCCCACACAAATCTTAACAGGTCCCAGAATGGTATCGGTGTACCATTTGTGATATTAAATACCTTTTTTTTGTTATATATATCAAAAAAAAATTATACATTTGAAATTAACAATTTAATATTACAATCATAAAAATTTTAACTATAATTATTGTACCTCTCCTGCAACCGGGCTTCCTTCAAATAATTTATCAGAAGCCAATAAATGTGCGTGTGCAACATTTTCAACATAGGTCCAGTCAACCAAATTGGAATTATCGCCGATTTGAAATTTTGATTGACCTTGTTGCATAACTTTAATTGCAGACGGAAGTAACTGCCGGTCATTTGGACTTGGGTGATGAAGTAATTGCAAATGATTAATGAAATTGTTGAATATAAAAAATATATTCACCGTTTCCCTAATTGTAGTCTTTTTTTAACTCTAATTAGCAAAACAGGGATTAATATTCACCCAAAAATACCATATGGACGAATGGCACATGTAAGAAGACCGTTAGTTCCGTTAGCATCGAGTACGATCCTTTCACCTTTTGCCTAAACCAGGTGAATCAAATATTTTAGTTGACAGAATAGAGATAGAAAAAAAAAATAAGGATGGTGACTGATACCTTCGTTTCGGTATAGACATCCATATGTTTTTCGGGAAAAGGCGTGGTCTCATCCCCATTAACCATTTCGTTAATCCCGTCGTAAATCACACTCGAACTACTAGTATACACCAATTTCTTGACACCATTAGCAACACATGAATCAACAACATTTTTTGTTCCATCAACGTTAACCTTCCAAAATAATTCTTCAGAGGCTCCACCATAATGCGGAGATGCTGTGTGAATCACGCTTGTAGCATGGCTTTTTCGAATGGCGTCATCAATTTCATTATAATTACTAAGGTCACCAATATAATGTGTAACCTCTTCATCAAAATATCGTTGTGAAATATCAAAAACGGATACATTTTTTTCGTCACGCTTAAGAAGCATTTCTACGATCCATCGCCCTACGAAACCTTCACCTCCTATTACTAAGTAATTATCTGACATTGACAAACCAGTTTTTTTTTTGAGTTGGTTATTTCGAAATTCTGGCCAATGAAAAAAAACCAAGTGTGTCACAATCCACAGCCACTTAAATTACTAAACATAAACACATGTTTAACTAACTTCTGTGGCAAACATGAAACCTCGTTTTCCGAATCACAACCTAGGTTAGCAACTCATGGAGAAAGATATGCTGGGCTATCTCTTTCTTATCCTTTTGCTTTTGGTGATAGGTAAGTTGTAAAAATATATATAGGTTATCCTTTTATCAAATGTATTAATCTTTCAAATGCCTAATATATTGCAATCTAAATAAGTTACATTCTATTATCGCAAAACAATTCTTGCAAAACTCCCTTATTTGAACCGACGTTATCAACGTTTGCCTGCTGTTTTCTCCACAAACTCATTTCAGAGTGATATTGAAGGTGGATTAACATCAGAATCCTTTGACCTTCACCAAAACATTGCTGATGGAGATAACCGTTCAGGGTTAGAAGACTCGGAAGAAATCAAGCGAATCATGGAATCTGAAGGCCTGAATTTTGATCAGGCAAGATTACTCAGAATGCAAAGGAAATTTAAAACCAATAATATTGATCCTCAGACGGGAGTGCCACGAGACCCTAAATTAGTTACTTTCTCCAATTAATTGTTTGGTTAACGTTAATTTTTTTCCTAATATGATATAATATTTATAATTTTTGATTTCAAAAATTTATATATTATCCTATCAATATACACTCTTTTACATTATTTATTTCAAAAAAAAGGAAACCTTATTTCACGTGATTAGTTAATACGTAATTTTGATGCAATAAATCAAGGTAGTGGCGAGCCTGAACTGAAGTTATGCCAAAAATATTAGGATTAATCAGTCACTCGATAGGTGTGGATCTGCTTGCCTTTTGGTATGTCAAACATGTCTAAGCACCTGATAATAATTCGGAGACAAGAAGCTAAGACGTGATATTTGCATGAATATAACACGTTATATGCGTCACATACCTTTATTTATTTAATAGACTAAATGATTTATAACATAAGTAATATGATTTGCTATAATATGGTCCAAAACCAAATACATCTTTGGATATTTCGAATTTCTCCTGTTGTCTGGACCATTATTTTAATTATTCATTGGAACCGATACATTTCGGAACTAAGAATATGGGTTTAGTATGAGACATTATATTAAACTGTTCTTTATAAATAAATTTTGCTAATGGAATATAACAGCTATTCTTGCACAAAAGGATTTGCAATTTCCTCTGTTCCATCAACTGGTGATATTAATATTACAGCTGGACCACGACAAACGATTAGTCCTAATGACCTGACTTCATCTGACAAATGGTTGGTCTCCGGATCTAATGTAAAAACCGATTTAAAAAAAAAAAATACAAATAAAAAGTTCAATTATAATTCGTAATATAATTTTTTTGCCGCACCTCTCAACTGCTCTTCGGTATCATCAAGTACTAGATTCAATAAAGGATCATAACCTTTTAATGATCCTGTCACTATTTGTTCAAAGAATTTCAATATAGTAATTAAACAAATCAAATATATATATATATAAAGCATTTAACCAGAGACACATGTATTAAGAAATGAAATTTTGG